GAAGATGAGCAGATGTGAGAGAAGATGTGAAGATGAGCAGATGTGAGAGAAGATGTGAAGATGAGCAGATGTGAAGATGAGTAGATGTGAAGATGAGAAGGTGTGAAGATGAGAAGGTGAGATACAGACCCCCACTATTGGAAGAACCCTGCGCTCAGACGCTCTCGGGAAAAATGTTCATGCCAACCTCAGCAAAGAAATGTGATGCTACAGTGTTACCCATTACCCACTAACTCCACGACCCCAAAATGAGTGAATCCCACTGTAACCTCATGAATCCATTCATATCTCTTTGGGGGTAAAATTAAACGTGCCTACTAAACATGCCAAGCAAACAAGTCAGGATTTCTTAAAACTCGCCGGCAAGACCTGCACATGACAGAGATGACCGGATAACAAACATGCCAAACAATCAAGGTGTTTTTTTAGGGCAGAAACAAAAAAACAAAGTAAGAGAGGCTTGAACAGCTGCCTGAAAACATGGAAGGTTGGTTGGGGTGACCGGAAAATAAGCATTGTGCCAAAAACCATAACAGCAAGCAAACATGCAAACGAACATATTCTGGAGGAAATAAGATCTGGGAAATGATGCGGTCATTGTTTTGCTGAACGTTTTCCGGTAGAAAGGCAACAACGTGTTCGTGCCAACCTCAGCAAGGAAATTTTTCAGTCATCTTTGCTCGGACACTTCAGGTCGCTAACAAAAAAAATCATTCCAACCTCAGCAAAGAAATGTGATGCTAAAGTGTTACCCATTACCCACTAACTCCACAACCCCAAAATGAGTGAATCCCACTGTAACCTCCTTAATCCATTCATATCTCTTTGGGGGTAAAATTAAACATGCCCACTAAACATGCCAAACAAACAAGTCAGTATTTCTTAAAACTCGCCGGCAAGACCTGCACATGACAGAGATGACCGGATAACAAACATGCCAAACAATCAAGAATCAAAACATGTAAGCCAGGCCTGAAACATGACAGGGGTGACCGGAAAATAAGCATGCGAAACCATAAACAAGTCAAGCAAACATGCACACGAACATGTCTGCGCGAAAGAAGATCTGGACATGCTTGCGGTCATGTTTGCTCGAACAGTTCCGATAGCAAACGAACAAACGTTCGTGCCAACCTCAGCAAGGAAATGTGATGCTAAAGTGCCACCCAAAAACTCCACAATCCAAAATTAGTGAATCCCAATGTAACTTCATTAATCCATTCATATTTCTTTCAGGGTAAAAGTAAACATGCCTACTAGACATGCCAAGCAAACAAGTCAGGACTGCGTCAAACTTGCCAGCAAGGCCTGAACATGACAGGGATGACCGGAAAACAAACACGCCAAAGAAGCAACGGGGCAAGAAAACAAAACATGTAAGCAAGGCTGCTTTTACACACACACACACATTGCCCCTGTCACACAGAAACACCTGTTACACAGAAACCCTGGTGCACACACACCATTTTACACAGAGACGCTTTAAGACACAAACCCTTTTACACACAGACACTTTTACACACAAAAGCTTTTACACACAGACACTTCTACACAGATGCACTTCTACACGCAAACACTTTTACACACAAACATCTTTACACAGAAACACTCTTACACACAAACCCTTTTACAAAGAGACACTTTTACACACAAAAGCTTTGACACACAATTGCGTTTACACAGATGCACTTGTACACACAAACACTTTTACACACAAACATCTTTACACCGAAACACTCCAACACACAAACACGTTTACACACAAACACGTTTTACACACAGAAGCTTTTACACACAATCACGTTTAAACAGATGGAATTTTACATACAATCACTTATACACACCAACATCTTTACACTGAAACACTCGTACACACAAACCCGTTTACACACAAAGACTTTTACACACAGAAGGTTTTACACACAACACTTTTACACAGATGCACTTGTACACACAAACACTTTTACACACAAACATCTCTACACAGAAACGCTCGTACACATAAACCTCTTTGCGTGCGAAAAAGTTACTCCAGCACACGAAAAATCGCAATTTTACCCCAGTTTTTGCCGATCGACCATCATTTCGTGCGAAAGGGTTGCTCCGGCACACGAAAAATCGCAATTTAGCTTTTACACACAATCACGTTTAGACAGATGGAATTTTACATACAATCACTTATACACACCAACATCTTTACACAGAAACACTCGTACACACAAACCCGTTTACACACAAAGACTTTTACACACAGAAGGTTTTACACACAACACTTTTACACAGATGCACTTGTACACACAAACACTTTTACACACAAACATCTTTACACAGAAACGCTCGTACACATAAACCTCTTTGCGTGCGAAAAAGTTACTCCAGCACACGAAAAATCGCAATTTTACCCCAGTTTTTGCCGATCGACCATCATTTCGTGCGAAAGGGTTGCTCCGGCACAGGAAAAATCGCAATTTTACCTCAGTTTCTACCGATCGACCCTCATTTCGTGCGAAAGGGTTGCTCCGGCACAGGTAAAATCGCAATTTTACCTCAGTTTTTGCCGATCGACCCTCATTTCGTGCGAAAGGGTTGCTCCGGGGCAAGTAAAATCGCAATTTTACCTCAGTTTTTGCCGATCGACCCTCATTTCGTGCGAAAGGGTTGCTCCGGCACAAGTCAAAGCGCAATTTTACCTCAGTTTTTGCCGATCGACCCTCATTTCGTGCGAAAGGGTTGCTCCGGCACAAGTCAAATCGCAATTTTACCTCAGTTTTTGCCGCCATCATTTCGTGCGAAAGGGTTGACGTTTCGTGACTCACCGCCGGTACCACCCTCGGCCTAAAGAGAGAAAGATAAAGAGAGAAAGATACAGAAGGCGAGAGAGAGAAAAAGGAGAGAGAAAGGAGAGAGAGAAAGGAGAGAGAGTGAGAGAGAGAGAAGATGTGAAGATGAGAAGGTGTGAGAGAAGGTGTGAAGATGAGAAGGTGTGAGAGAAGATGTGAAGATGAGAAGGTGTGAGAGAAGATGTGAAGATAAGAAGGTGTGAGAGAAGGTGTGAAGATGAGAAGGTGTGAAGATGAGAAGGTGTGAGAGAAGATGTGAAGATGAGAAGGTGTGAGAGAAGATGTGAAGATGAGAGGGTGTGAGAGAAGATGTGAAGATGAGAAGGTGTGAGAGAAGATGTGAAGATGAGAAGGTGTGAGAGAAGGTGTGAAGATGAGAAGGGTGTGAGAGAAGATGTGAAGATGAGAAGGTGTGAGAGAAGATGTGAAGATGAGAAGGTGTGAGAGAAGATGTGAAGATGAGAAGGTGTGAGAGAAGATGTGAAGATGAGAAGGTGTGAGAGAAGATGTGAAGATGAGAAGGTGTGAAGATGAGAAGGTGTGAGAGAAGATGTGAATATGAGAAGGTGTGAGAGAAGATGTGAAGATGAGAAGGTGTGAAGATGAGAAGATGAGATACAGACCTCCACTATTGGAAGAACCCTGCGCTCAGACGCTCTCGGGAAAAAGGAATTTCAGCACTGGAGGTTGATTATCCGCAGCCATTTTGGCTCATTCTCAGCCTCGCGCAAAGAAAAATTGGAAATAAATAATTCTGGACCCTGGATTAAAAAAAAGGGAATTTCAGTTTCAGCACTGGAGGAGTGATGAGAAACAAAAATTCATTGGAAATAAATGATTTTGGCTTAAAAAAAGGGAATTTCAGCACTGGAGGTTGATTATCCGCAGCCATTTTGACTCATTCTCAGCCTCGCACAAAGAAAAATTGGAAATAAATAATTTTGGATTAAAAAAAGGGAATTTCAGCACTGGAGGAGTGATGAGAAACCAAAAGCATTGGAAATAAAAAAAATTGGATAAAAAAAAGGAATTTCAGCACTGGAGGTTGATTATCTGCAGCCATTTTGGCTCATTCCAATCCTTGGGAGATGAGATTTGATTGCTAAAATCTCACGTGTCTGAGATTGATGAAACATGATGAGAAATAAAAAGAAAAGGACATAAACAATTTGGTATTTAAAAAAAATTCAGCACTGGTGGTTGATTAATCGGGAGTAGGCCAAAGTGTTGATTAATCCGGGGGGACCACCTGTTTTTAAATTACCTTTTTTTTGGGGGGCAGTGGTGGTTGATTAATCGGGAGGGGTTGATTAATCCTGACTTGGCATTATATATATATATATTATACACATAAACATATCTCTGGAGAGATTTCATGACGACCTCGCATCACGACCTCAGTGGAATGATGGTGAATGTAGGGGTAACTACCCCCCCAAAAGGCTGACTGTTCAGATTTAGTGAATTAGTTTGATTTACCCAGATTGGTGGATGACACTCAAAATTGCTTTATTTTCGATTGGGAAACATACGATAAACAAATTTTGGGGTACGAACTCAGATGGAACTTGGAGATTGGCGATGCACAAAAAGTGCCACGTCGAAGTGGCTCACATACAAAGCATACTATAACCAACAAGAACCACGGAAGCGTGAGCCTAGAAAATGAGCCGCCAGTCAAAAAAAAAGGTCGTCATGGGTATGGGCATGGGGTCGGAAAGGGTTCATATCTAGATTGAAGTGAGGGTTCAAGGCTTTACATATTTTTTCTTGGTCTAAAAAACGCAAGGAAATGATATGCGGCCCAATAAGAAGGGATGGCAGATGACTGGTAGGTGTCACTGTCGCACTGCTCATGGAGAGATTGCCAACACCAAAGACGCGCCGTTGACAGGGATTTCGGTGTAGGCTGCACCAGACAACTGGTTTCTGAGCAAGATCTTTCAGCTTCTCCAGAACTGGTTCCGTTATGCTATGCTTCGATTTGCATCCCAAGTAGTAAGTGATCAATACGTGTCAATGTCAATTTTGACTGGAACAAGCAATGAGTAAACGCCCCATTTATTTATTCGACTTAGATACATGTACAACTGGCTATGCCATGGTTATTTACTACATACCAAGTCTGCTTCAAATTTTACCCAAGCTGCTGAGCCCGAGGCTTGCGCTCCAATCCCAACTTCAAGCTGAGCTCTCAAACCTTGATGGCGCCCTCCTTGATGCGATTTGATTGCAACCAGACATCCCTAGGTTTATACCATTTCCCGATGAGCTTGGCATAGCTTGGCCATTTGGGGTGTATACATGGGTATACCACATTTTTCAGGCACACCCATGTTGATGATGTTGATGTAGGTATGCTGAGGTATGGTGGTGCTCGACCAAGAAGCGTCATGACTGGACCATAGGAGCCCATGGATCATCCGTCCTATTGGAGGTGCCCATTTTGGACTGCCACATCCCCAAGTCTCTTTGTGGTTGGCACACATTTTCAAGCCATTCCAAACAAGTTTCACTGCTCCAAAGCTCTTTCCGGGTTTCAGTAAAAAAGAAAATTGACCATAATAGACCCATGTAGGACCAAACTAGCTCCATTGCCACTCGCAGCGTGAGTGCAGTATGCGAACCATCTTTTGATACACTTACGATAAGTTAAGCACTGTTAAGTATGTTATGCGGTTGGTAATTAGATCCAACATCATCCAACCATCTGGATCCCAAGAACGAGCCATCTCATCATCTCATCTCGATCCTCTGGGACCTGACTTCCCCGTTTCGCTGAGCTCGGGCGTTTTCGATCTCACGCGCTTTCTGTCGCAGCTGGATGTCTCGGAAGCCATCCCTCTGAAGGGCGGCATGGGTGCGCCACGACGCACGGCAAAGGTGGCCATGGGCGGTGGGGTCGAAGGGTGGAAGGAAGCAGGTGGAGTGAGTTTATTGTGATACATTGTGATTATTTTTGCTATGATCATGATACGGTTGTTGTTTTATTAGCATTAGCTTTATTATTGTTATATTACGATGTATGTATATTTATTATATAATTCATTTATTCCTTTGTGTACATTAATATAATTTGATATATTTTAATGGGGATTATTTTTCTGTGATGGTATGAGATCATTGGTGCGCAGGAGGATGGAGATGAGAAGACGATAACGACATGACGATGACCACGATGGGAGTGATTTTCGTGGATGCACCTGAACGTTTCAGTGATTCAGAAGTGTCTTCTTCGAACCAAGCATTGGCATTATATATCACATACATATTGTATACTATACATATCTATTTATTATATATTATATTTAATATATATATATATAATATATTAATATACATAATACATAAAATATAATATAAAATATATAATATATAACATATGATAATATATATATATATAATAAGATTATAATATGTATATATATTTGTAATATAATATAATATAATATAAAATAATATAATATAATATGATTTAATATAATATAATATGATATATTATAATATATATAACATATGATAAACATAGATACATAATATATATGTAATATATAATATATAATATATAAAATAATATATATATATATTATAATATGATATAATATAATATAGTATACTATGATATAATATACTATAATTTAATATAATATAATATAGTATACTATAATATAATATACTATTATTTAATATGATTTAATATAATATAATATATATATATATAATTTAAAATACTATTATATATATACATTATATATATACAATGTACATTTTATATATAATATACATTACATATATATATATATATTATATATTATGTAAAAACTAATAATATATATATATGTATTAACATTGGATATATATATTATATTGTACATACTATGTATATTATTTTTTGTACATATAATACATATTACATCTTATTTTTTGTATTTATATTATATTATTATTTATTATGTTTTTTTATTGTTGATGATTACTAATATTTTTCTTTTCTTTTAAAAGTAATTTATTATTTGTTTTTATTTATTATTATTACCGTATTACTTTTATTGTGATTGTTATTTTTTGTATTTTACAATTATTACCATTATTATTTTGATTTAGATCTATATTTTAACTTACTAGTACTATGATTAAACCACACCGTTATTGTTATTGCTAATGTTAGCATAGTAATTATTTTAACCATGGATCAACAACAAGTTTCACATCGGGCTCGTGCTGGCAGGATGGCCAGCCGTACACCTGGGAAGAGTTCGAGGACTACTACCAGGACTCGGCATGGCGCGAGTGGCGTGCAGCAGCGGAAGCTGAACCCGATGGATTTCTTGAAGGTGCGATGATAGGAGACGCCCAGTGGACAGGAATCCATGTTTTTTTGGTGGGAGAAACAACTATTTGGAAGGTGGCAGTGATTGAACTTACTGAATGACGGGAAACCAGTGCTGGTTTTGTCTCTTGTTTCCTGTGACACCGAAAAACGAAAGTGAGACAGCACAGCCGGCAGTGGCTTGTGCAGGCAATGTGCTTCACACCTGCAATTACGAGAAGTTGGGATGTTTGCGCATCAGAGACTAGTCTGCATTGAGTTGCCACTTTGAACATCATATCAGAGATGCTCCTTTCCACCCCACAAGAACCAACTTAACGATTTGTGCCGTTGCGGCACCTGGCATTAAGTTTCGTGTAGAGTGAACCATCAAATGGGCCCAGTCTGAGGAGACACTGACAGGAGACCAAGTTTGCCGCATCCAACGAGTTTTGCTAGCTGGAAAATCGCTGTTTTGTAACGATTTGCAAATGATTCTTGAAGATTGAACTGACTTACTTATTCAACATGATTATTTTCTAGTACCTGCCTGTTTGTTTTTTCTTGGGGGGGCGGTACGTTCAATTATCCTTTGGTAATCTGCCAGCTGGCTGCAAAATCAATGCGAATGACCTGAGATGAGCATGGAAAAACATGGGCTGTGGGTCAAACTGTAATGTTTATCGTGAGTGTTGGTGACTTTGAATGTTAAACAATATTAGCAGTCCTTTTTTTGGTACTAGAATTTTGACCCATGCTGACCCTTTTTTTGGGTGCAGTTCCACAAGAAAAAAACTGTGATAATTATAGCCATAGTATTCCACCATAGTTATGGTGAAGAAAACCCAGCCCAACTCATGGGGTTTATTACCATGGTTATACGTAATGGTTATAACAATAGTTAAAGTGGTTTTAACCATAGTCATGGTGGTTATAACCAAAGTCATAGTGGTTATAACCATAGTCATAGAATAGTGGATATAACAATAGTTATAGTGGATATAACCATAGTCGCAGTGGTTAAAACCATAGTCAAAGTGGTTATAACAATAGTGGTTATACCCATAGTCGTAGTGGTTATAACCATAGTCATAGTGGTTATACCCATAGTCGTAGTGGTTATACCCATAGTCATAGTGGTTATAACCATAGTCATAGTGGTTATACCCATAGTCATAGTGGTTATACCCATAGTCATAGTGGTTATAAGGATAGTTATCGTGGTTATAACAATAGTGGTGATACTCATGGTCATAGTGGATATAACCATAGTCATAGTGGTTAAAACCATAGTCAAAGTGGTTATAACAATAGTGGTTATACCCATAGTCATAGTGGCTATACCCATAATCATAGTGGTTATAAGGATAGTTATCGTGGTTATAACAATAGTGGTTATATCCATGGTCATAGTGGTTAAACCCATAGTCATAGTGGTTATACCCGTAGTCATAGTGGTTATACCCATAGTCATAGTGGTTAAAACCATACTTATAGTGGTTATAATCATAGTCATGGTGGTTATACCCAGAGTCATAGTGGTTATACCCATAGTCATAGTGGTTATACCCATAGTCATAGTGGTTGTAACCATAGTCATAGTGGATAGTGGTTATCACCATAGTTATAGTTGTTTTAACCATACTTATATTGGTTATCACTAGAACTATGGTTATAACCACTATGGCTATGGTTATGACCACTACGACTATGCCTATAGCCACTATGACTATGGGTATAACCACTATGTGACTATGGCTATAACCACTAAAACTATGGCTATAACCACTATGACTATGGTTACAACCACTATTTATAACTATGGGTATAACCACTATGACTATGGTTATAACCACTATAACTATGGTTATAACCATAGTCATAGTGGTCATAATCATAGTCATAGTGGTTATAGCCATGGTCATAGTGGTCATAATCATAGTCATAGTGGTTATAACCATAGTTATTCTGGTTTTAACCATAGTTATACTGGTTATACCCAGAGTCATCAATTAAGTGGTTATAACGCCCCATAGTCATAGGGTTATAACCATAGTTTATATGGTGTGATACCCATAGTCAAAGTGGTTTACCCAAGTCATATTGGTTATACCCCTAGTCAAATTGGTTGTAACATATCATAGTGGCTATAACATGTCATGTGGTTATAACCATATCATAGAAAGATGGATAAAATTAGTTAAGGTGGATATACCATAGTCCCTAGTGGTTAAACCATAGTCAAAGTGGGGTTTTATAAGCATTGTGGTTATCCCCTAGTCCTAGTGGCTATAACCATAATCATAGTGGTTATAATGATAGTTTATCGTGGTTAGAACATAGTGGTTATATCATGGTCATAGTGTTAACCCATAGTCATAGTGGTTATCCCGTGTCATATTGTTATAACCATAGTCCATAGTGTTAAAACCATATCTTATAGTGGTTATAATCATAGTATGGTGGTTATACCCAAGTCATAGTGGTTATACCATGAGTCCTAAGTGTGTTATAACCATAGTCATATGGTGTTAACCATAGTCCATAGTGGAATAGTGTTATCACCATCGTTTATTTGTTTTTAACCATCCTTATATTGGTTTACACTAGAACATGGTTATAACCCTAGGGCTAGGTTATGACCACGACGACTATGGCCTATAGCCATATGACGATGGGTGTAACCACTCATGTGACTATGCTATACCCACTAAACTATGGCTATAACCACTAAAACTATGGCTATAACCACTATGACTATGGTTACAACCACTATTTATAACTATGGGTATAACCACTATGACTATGGTTATAACCACTATAACTATGGTTATAACCATAGTCATAGTGGTCATAATCATAGTCATAGTGGTTATAGCCATGGTCATAGTGGTCATAATCATAGTCATAGTGGTTATAACCATAGTTATTCTGGTTTTAACCATAGTTATACTGGTTATACCCAGAGTCATAGTGGTTATAACCATAGTCATAGTGGTCATATCCAAATTTACAATGGTTATACCCATAGTCATAGTGGTTATAACCATAGTTATAGTGGTTATACCCATAGTCATAGTGGTTATAACCATAGTCATAGTGGTTATAACCATAGTCATAGTGGTCATGATCATATTCATAGTGGTTATAACCATAGTTATAGTGGTTATACCCATAAAAGTCACCCCAACTGAAGCCCCAGGCTACTTCAAGTCCTCTGCCACTCACGGCAGCTATCTGGGCAGCCAGCGATTGGGCAGATCTCCTGTGACTGGACGCCAGAGTGGGAAATGCTGGGGATGTTGATGTGAGAAGTAGACGGGCCATGGAATTAGTTAACTTAGATGTATATCAATAGATTAAAAAAAATGGGATATAGTGGTTTATAATGATTTACAATGGTTTACAATGGTTTATAAGTCAGTTGCTAGCCACTTAGCTACTCCCATGGCCGATCTAAGTAGGCTTGGAGAACAAGACCCTGTTGATTTTTATTTTCTCGGACAAAGAGGAAAGTTGTAGCCCCCTAAGCTCATTGGCGCATTAATTTGATACAGCCATATAACATCACATTCAACCTTGGCCGGTTTGATTTGCTTCGACATTACAACATATGCTACTGTATGGTCAGCAACGGGGTCCCCCAAAAGAAAATACAGTATATACTTGTTTTCCCATTGCTTGACGGGGATTCGGCTTTCCTGTCCTTACGGGCGTCACCTTTTTCCAGAATTCATTGAATGGGAGATCTACAGGACTCTCCCCATACCTGGAGGTACGTATTGTTTCCTTGAAATGAAACCAACCCATATTGATTTTCGAACTGAGTGTGTTCAACTTTTCAACCCAAAAGCAGACATAGATAGAAATAGCATCTCCCCAATTTCACCAGAAATATTCGGATTGAGGCCTTGTAACAACCATCCCCCATTGACGGTCCATGACTTTGCGGCATTAAAAAGCAGCCGCAGCGGAGGTCAGAACGCTGCCTTGGAAAGCGCCTCCTTCCTGGATGTGCAAAGTTCCCTGGGCAAAACATACCAGCTGATGATCGATGGATGTTCGCCACAAGAAATATGGTATCCATCGAATGTATGTTCTGACACATCCCTGTTGATGTTTTTCTGTCTTTCTCAGCTATCATTCCCCTGTTTGAAAGTTTGGGAATGATTGGGATCTGATGTAACACTCAAAAGAGTCACTATAAGTCGGATGACATCGAAAATTCACGACTCTTGTCTCCATACATGTTTGGACCATTGTTTGTCATGATTCGGCCAAATGATCAGCATTATGATTGGGCAGCTTCTTTTGGCCCGGCCTGGTTTGACGGGCCACACCTGAGGCCACCGATGTTGATCTTTTTAGTGGGAAGGAGTATCTTCAGAGCGCAGAGGACTGTGGATTCAGCGATTTCATCGCGGTAATCGGCTGCCCCAGGCTGCACCAGCGTACAGTGACAGGAATCGGTACCAATGTTGCCACCAAAATCATACAGGATGGGCAGTTTGCATCTGTACATTTCTGCACCAAGACTCAATTTGATTTGTTTTGGATGTTGACTGGGGATAGAGGGAGTTCACCCGCAACCAAATACTTTATGTGTATGATCTTGGGAGCTTGCATCATTCTCGTTGCCTATCTTTTTTGCGGATTAGTGGTTCATAATGGTTATATTGTACCGCTGGCGATATAATTAAATATATGTGAAGTGCATTTTTGAACCAATAGATTCATTTGATTTTACCAAGACATCATGTTGTCATTGATTTCCAATGGAAAGGCCGTCATTTCGTCAATTTTTTTGTCATCCAAATGGATGGCATGGGCTTGGGGATGATCAACATGATTTTGCTGTTGGAAAAGACCACAGATGGAAGCGGCAAAGAAAGTACATAAGTGGTTGGTGGTTTGGAACATTTTTTACTTTCCATAATATATGGGATAATCCTTCCCAGTGACCAATATTTTTCAGAGGGGTTGAAACCACCAACCAGATAATGACCTTTCGACATTTGCTAATACATTATCTGGCGAGCATCATGTGTTGAAAGAATCTTTGAGTAAGGCTGCGCAAGAACTGGCAGAAGCTTTCGATGTGCAGCCGACGGCTTCAGTTGGCAAAATTGCATCGGTGAGAAAGATGCAAGTACAAAGAGCATATTATAAGAAAAAAATGTCAGAGCTTAGAAAAGCAGCTGAAAGATGCTTCAGGTGTCAAAAGTCACGGTGCAAAAGACACTTTTATCTGCAAATCGGCACACATTTTTTTTTTAAAATACAGACCATATATGATATATATATATATGATATATATATATATATTATACATATTATACATATT